AAGTTCAATTGTTTATGTTATTTCAGGCACGGATACCTGTAAGTACATGTGTGATCTAAAATCAATCATACCTTCGGTGCAGTTTTCTCCCAGTAGTCCATTTGCGCAAACACAACGATAACCCTTCCTGGTGAACCCAGTTTGGCATCGCTTTGTTGATGGACAAAGCATACTGGAACAGCGGTTCTGCGAAGATATAAAAATATTTATAGAATCTTTGCTCCGGTACCCAGCTTCTTACCTTCTTCCAGCTAATTCATCCATACCGATTCACCCCTTTTTACATTAATAAATTTCAAGATGCACGCATACATCCATCAACTCACACATGTGCGAATGCATGCATGCATTCATGTATTCATTTATCCTAAGCATCCTCTTTTCCTTCTACAGGAAAGAAAGTTTGAACGTATGGTGTTCAAAAAAATTCAAATATCTCTTATTGTGATTCGATTTGATTTTCTCTTTTCGTTCATTTAAGATACATGATAATTTCATCGACGAAAACTTAACGGAATTACTAAAGAGAATAAGTCATTTCACCTTAAATGATTTGTAAAAAGTCCCTTCTTTGTATCTTAGATCCTGTCGATTATTTGCGTGATCTGAATCACTCAATTCTCACAAAAGTTTTCCATTCTGTTGTGGTTTTATATTGTAGGAAACACAGTCAGCTTCCATGAAGCAGTTCACTTCACATGCGCTGGCTGTCTCAATCTCCATCATTTTGAAAACGTGTTTCTCGAGGATGAAGTCCTGCTTTGCGGGGTTCATCTCCACTTTCCGACGGTGTTCTAAAAATTAAGCAAAGAGAAAGTATAGTTTATGTATCTAGAAGAGCAACCTATTCTTGCTAGCAGGCTTAAAAATCGTTCATCTTGTGAAACTTTAAATTCACTGAACGAAAAAACGGATTTACACCATATTTGCGCAGTGAAAATGTGAGCAAATCTGGTCCAAAGCTGTTGCAAATGTGGTGCAAATGGGGTAAATGCCACATTTGCACCACGATTTGCAACCCTGTGCAAATCTAAAGCAAACGTGGCATTTACCCCATTTGCACCACATTTGCTACGGCTTTGGACCAGATTTGCTGACATTTTGTACTGCGCAAATATTGTGTAAATCCGTTCATTTTCATATAATAATATTTGAGACTTAAAAGTTAATTTCCATAAAGCTTAAACTATTACTTCCATCTTGATATTGTGATGGTGGATGAACACTTGTTCCGAAAAAAATCGTTGCAGCAATTCAGTGAGGTGAACGATAGAAGCTATGTTCTTAGCGATTTTGATCGATGATTTTTAATCCGGTCAAATCGCAGAAGTTACCCTATTGAAGCCAGCACTAGCGTGAGTGAGTATTTCAAATAAAGAGTTCAAAAGAAAAGAAAAGAAAGGTTTAAAGAATTTATTTAATAAAATTTACGCCTGTGAATATGCAAGCGATCTTCGCAGTTATGAGCACTACTTCCCATGCAGGCTTCAATTTTTTTAGCCTTAATTTTTCACCTCTGCTTAAGTAGTTTTCATGTTTCGTATTCATTTCTGTATCCGCAGTTCGCATATATGATTTTCATATATTTACGATCAAAAGTTACGCCAGATGGCTGTAATACTCACCTTGCTCCTCACTGCTGCAAATACCAACCAGAAATGAAAAAAGTGAGAATCCTGACAATTTCATCGCTAACTTGTCTGTCTTCTTTGTTACTTTACGAGCAAGATGGCTAATCAAAGAGTAACGTCAGCTTTCTGTTTAAAATACGGCTGCCTACCCCAGTGTGTTTTGCGACAGAAAAAATAAGTTTCAATTTTTGATGGAACAGTATTGGACGAACAATAGGCGATGACATAGCGGTTACATAATTGAATTTGATACGGTAAAACGGTCAAGGCGGATGAAAAGATTTAGATATCGATTTAGAGAGATTTTTCTATTTCTCGAAACTGCAGACCGTTTCTCTCTAGGTCGCTGTGATAATATTATCGTTATTAATCTCTACATATGAAATTGTCTCCCCTCAATTTAAATTTTTAAGTTGTGTTGCTTCTGAGCACTTAGCAGGTGCCACGATTGGTTACAATTTGATTTCATCTTCAGTTGCTCTTCAGACAGGTGAGGATTTCCGTTTACCAAAGTTATGCACGTTCTAAAGATAAGAGAAGAAAATTATATGCCTTTAAAAGGAATCATTTTTTTTTCTGAAAAAAGCAGATTTTTAAAGTATAGGGGAAGTTGCCAAACTCAGACATCAGCAAGAGGGGAAAGAACTAATTACGTCAAACTGTGTCATAGTGCAAAGAAAAGCTGATTATTATATTTTGCGCGCTACAAGCCTTAATTGCTATTGTTGAGCAGAATTTTAATGAATATTGGTGCTTATCAAACTCATTGAGCGTTGATATTTTTATCATGTATGAGCTAATTTGGTTACCATTTCCTGTCAACGGGGCTTCAGCAACTGCAGTCAGTCTAATAAAGACTAATTAGGTCAAGATAAACAAACCCTCCATACACTGCAAAGGAGAAAATACGAGGTATGTGTTGATATCCCTATTACAAACAGGTGTACCATTTTTTTGAGTGATTACAAATGTTGTAATATCGTATTCCTGCTTAAGAAAGTCAAGAAGTCTGTCTTGTTGAAGAATAATATTGAAATTTCCCAGTTGGTGAGCTTACATATAATTATATTGGTGACGAAATTAGGTAAAATCTTTTATGTTAAACCGCACGTATCCGTGCAGTGCCTCTTTAAGGATTATGATAGATCGTATAACTCGCTAACAGGTTGATTATTGGTCGTCAATGTTTGTAGGCTCTCTCTGATTTCAGTGATGCATCGTCATCGATCGTCATCGTTAACAGAATGCTTTACATCTACTGGGGCTTGTTTTATTGTGATCGAAGAAAAACACTGATTACAAAACAGCTTTTGAACTACTTTTCATGAGAAATTGTGACGAGTTTGGCATTCTAGATCGACAAGAAACTTTTGTCGAACTTTTTTTTTTTGTTCCTGTTCATTTTCTATAAAACAGTAACAAAGACTATGAAAGAGAGTTCTAGAACATGGTTATAATCCAGTTAGCTATAAAAATGCTTCCGGTGCCAAATATAGGAAGATACGTGTAATTTACCATATCGGTCTAGCAGCGAAGATTTCTTTCCTAATATGATCAGTTCGTGTGGTTGTTTCGATGTGCCGTGTTAAAGCCGAACAGCAAACAGGCGCCACATTGGCTAACGAATGGATGACACATTTATATATCTAAAAATACGTTGCTCATCGAATAAAGAAAAGTGGAAAAGGAACTGAGCACGATGTTAACAACAATGACATTTTCTAGAAAAAGGCTTGTGATTTCGGACACTCATGACTGATATGTGATTCTGGACCCTAGTGATCAATTTGTGATGATGATGGACCCTTTTGGCGTATTTGTGATTTTGGACCCTAGTGGCCGATTTATGATTTTAGACCCCAGTGGCCGATCTTTTAACTGGGACACTTATGGCCGATATATGATTTAAACCCAACTGGCCGCTTTGTGATTCTGGACTCCAGTGATCGATTCGTGATTTTAGCCACTAGTGGCCGATTTGTGATACTGGACCGTAGTCGCTGATAAGTGATTTGGACTCTAATGCCCAATTTGTGAATCTAGACACTAGTGGCCAATTTGTAATTTTGAACACTAGTAGCCGATTTTAGACACAAGTAGCAGTTTTTTCGATTTTGGACACTACTGTCCGATTTGTGACTTTAAACGATAGAGGCTGATATGTGATTGTGGACCTTAGTGGCCGATTTGTAATTTTGAACCCTTGTTACCGATTTGTGATTATGGACCCTAATGGCTGATCTGTGATTATGGACCCTCGTGGCCGATTTTTTTATTTTGGACCCTACTGCTGGATTTGTGATTATGGACCCTGTATGTAGCCGATTTGTAGATTTGGGCCCTTGTGTCCGATTTGTGATTTTGGACCCTAGTGATCGATATGTGATTATGGACCCCTCTGGCTGATCTGCGATTTTGGGCCCTTGTGGCCGAATTATGATTTTAGACTCTGGTGGCCAATTTGTGATTTTGGACCCCGGTGGCCGATTTGTAGATTTGGGCCCTTGTGTCCGATTTGTGACTTTGAACCCCAGTGATCGATTTGTGATTATGGACCCTTCTGGCCGAATTGTGATTTTGGGCCCTAATGGCCGAATTGTGATTTAAGACTCCAGTGGCCAATTTGTTTTTTTTTTTTTTTTTTTTGGATTTTTTTAATTTTTATTAATTCAAAGTTACATACATTTTTCATAAACAAACATAATTCACATAAACAGACAGACACGGTACATCATATATCTACATACACAACCCACAGTTCCTCTTAGCTCTCCTCGGCTTCTAAATATCATACTAGTACAGCGCAGCAACAAACATGAGATTCTATATCATCTAATAATTTTTTTGTACTTGTCCCATTTCATATTATGAGCTTTTAGCTTATTATTTGATTTTGCGATCATAGTCTCGAGTTGGTGGATCGTTTTAATTTTGAGGTTTAATACTTTAATTGAAGGAAGAGATTTGTTCTGTCGGCAAGAATATAAATACTGTTTGGCAATTATTAAAATATGATTGATTAATAATTCAAAGTCGCACCTTAAAATACCAAACATTATATCTTTTTCAGAGAGGTGTTTTATCTTTACGCCTTGATTATCGAACCACTTTATTACCTCAGCCCAGAAATCCTTAGTATAACGACAAGAAATAAAAAAATGCTCCAAGGATTCGTTCATTTCGCCACAGAAGGAACACGCCGGGGATGGAATAATACCAATTTTGTTTAAAAAAGAATTTGTGATAAGACACCTGTTAAGTAGTTTATACTGGAATTCACGCGATTTTGTGTCCAAGGAAGTACGAAATGGCAAGCTGTAAATCTCTTTCCATTCTAAAACATCATTAACAAAATGAGTATTAAAATTCAGTTGGGCAGTCGGTGGAGTGATGATTCTATTTCGAAGTTCTTTATATATAGTCTTTGAAATGACTGTTTCAATTAAAACGTTTTTGTCATTAAAACTTAATTTAATTTCGTTATACAAATTGAAAGGCTCGTCAGCTGTAGAAGCAAGCGTGTTTAATGATTCACGCCAT